AATATTTATCGATCAGAGGAAAGAGAAAACCACATATTCGAAATATTCAAACCATAAAACCATTTTGAATACGGTGCGCACGTTTTAAGGAGTACGGTCCCACATTTTGGCTAAACGTTGCCCTGATCTTGCAACATGTATAGGTGACATGCATGATATAAGTAATAAATTAGGTTTATGAGTATTTTACGAGCGAGTTAATGGAAAAAGTCACGAAAGAGCAGACAAGGACAGGGCAATTGCTTTTGTTGCCACGTTCATTAGCTTCGTAAATCTAATTCACGTGAAACCATACAACATATCTGTATTTTTCTCAATATTCAATCAAAATATATAATAATTATATAACACAAATACTATTTATGTGATATTAATACAACTGTTGCATTTACTAAAGCATATACGATTTCGCGCACAGTAATAACTAAAAAAATAATACAACGAGCCAAACTGCCAGGACACTTTACAAATAAGTGGCAAAGCCGCTGCACACCTAGTGAAAATGTCTTAAAAATATCTGAGACTTTTACGGCGTAAATTTTTTATCCACTACGCAAATAGGTGTTCCATTAAACAAAGACGTGCAACTTTCTACGAACACTCAATGCCGAGATCGTAAACCCTGAGACGGAGGGACTAGATAAATACTCAGATAACGTGCTGTTGCCTTTTTAAATTTTTTTAGAGGGTGGTAGGGGTTAATACATGTAACTGATGCTCGTTAAGGGGTTTTGTTTAATTTGATTTTCCTAATTTTTTTATTATTGGCGAGCGGTTACAGGGTACGGTTCTGTCGAGCTAACTGCGTGTGAAAGTTAAAGGTGCCAGAAAGTCGTGGAACAAGACTATAATTATAATTAACTAGAATTGCTGATCCTAGATCTACTCGTTACCAAAGTGATCTGTTGTGCGGTGGAATTTAGAGTCAACGTGGGCCAGGTCAATTTCAAAGATTTGATTGGTTAGAAAAAAATTTTCCATAAATTGATCAATACTTCCCAAATGGTCAAGTTTTTCTTTACTAGAGGCATATATGGTTAAAATGTCAAAGAAATATCTTCATGAATTAGGAAGTTGGCACTAACTGCGCATGCGCACATCTAATGTGCCTTTAACAGAAGCATCTGTCATTAAAATTTCAAAAAGATATCTCGATAAAGACATTTGATATGCGCATATTAATCTAATGTTTACAATATGCGACACGTTTGCTTTTACTAAAAGCATCTTTGGTTTAAATTTCCAATTCAATAATTAAGAAAGTCGACATTGCACAACCTGCGCATGCGCAGTTTAATCGTCAAGATTTTTCTTGGGGCAGGTGCCAGAGCTATATACGCTACTGAATGCAAAAACGAACTAAATATCTTGAAAACTGTAGTAGTTAAGGTCTCGGAAAGACGGACAAGACGGACAGAGAAAGTGACTGCAATAGCGCACCCAACTTCACTGGAAAATGCGCTAAGAATTAAGTAGTAGAAAATTAGGCCCTCAGCGGGAAGTCGTAGAAGCCACGAAAGCGAAAAAAACCACGACGGTGGGTTTACGTTGTTTGCGATCAAATTGCTAAAGTATTATGATGAAATTTCTAATAGAGAAATAATAATGATTATACAATTTGATATACAGAGTGTAACATAGTATGTAGATAGAAATTATCAAATAGAGAGAACCAAAACTAATATTTTTTCCAAATAAACAGAGGACCCAACGAGTTGCGTTTGGGAGTTACCCTCAAAGACTTGGTGAAATTTTAATTTCTTCTTTTTTTCGGCAACCAAGTTACAAAAAACGAGTGGCATGTCTATGAATAGGTTTTCAGGCAAGCCCTTTTGGGCTTTATAATTTTTTTAATTCTTACCCCAAGATTGCGCGCCGTAATTATACGCGGTTGTCCGTATTCGCAACAATATCCTCTATTTCGCAATTCAAATTTATTTTAGGGTCACACAATTTTAATTTTGTGCGTTTAAAACTTCCACTAATGTTCGCATTCACCGTAACGCTTGAAGTGCCTTTTTCCGGACGGAACCGGCCCGGAAGCATAATTATAAATGTAACAGTAATAGTAAAAGTAATAGTAATAGTAATATATTTCGTTGACCCATTCGATAATTACAATTGTTTGGCCGTGCATGTGCAAATTGACCTTTCCCCACCACTATTTCGGAATGGGATCTCAGTTTAATCACGGTTGGGTGTCTGTCATATTGGTCTAGTTTGTGGTAAGCATATTCGCCATGCAACGGGGCGGTTCGGATTCGATTCTTTGCACGAAAAGTTGTTTTTATTTTTTTCACAAAAATGCGTATCCCATTTCAGCGGAGTTGGACATTAAGTTATTTGTAGGTTTGAGATTATCTTTTTTTTAAGCAAAATTGTAAGAGTTCTGTGGAGTTTTCCAAAGGGATAACGGGTCTGCTATTCACGAATATGCGAGAAACTTGTAAAGATTGTTTAAACAAATTACTCCGCACGCAGGCGTTCGATAAATAATATTTTAAAAAATCTCAGAATTACTTATTTCTTTTTAAAAAAATATAAATAATCTCGTCGTAAACAGCTTCAAAACTTCCCTTTCCGTTAACACATAAACTTGATGTCAAACGAACTGGCATGTTGAATACGATTATGAAACTTAACGGTTGATTCTGTAACGGTATAACTTTTAATGACCTCACGGTGCACTAAGACAACACGCTTTCAACTTTTCACAACTTTTAAACAACTTCAGTTAACTTTCTTCTGTACAGAGACATAAAAATTAGGAAAGGCGTCTTCAATTAATCAAATCAGATAAACTGCCGGAATAAAAAAAATAGCGTAAAGAGACGTCCACTCTTTTCCAATCGTCCCGAACCAGCTACAGCAGCATCGTTTTTACCTTGTCTCGCGTATTTAATAATAATAATACAGAATACTTCTATCATAATAATAATCTCAGTCCTCCGGTATTTACGAATAATGCGCCAATAGTAATTAGCTTAGATAATGCCGGCTGCAAAGTAACGCGTTCACGTCGTGAATAATGCGCACATCGTTGACCACTTGCATCTCTTGTTATCAACACCAAAACACGTGCGTTAATTAAATTTCAATCGATAACACTCCTTATCGCAAACAACCAGATGTCTCTACATTTTCACACGCAATTTCATGTTTCACACTTAAATACAACAAATTTAAATAAACAATTTACACAGGCGATACAGTTTAAACACAAATTATAGTTACAAAACCAAAAGTAACAATAACACTGAGGCACACACTCAAGTAAAACGAACCAACCCCGTGCTTCTTCGTAAATAACACCCCAGGTTTACTTCACTAACTAAATTGAAATATTTCTCATATACGCGGTATCCCGTCATTATTTTTGGTGTTTGTCTACATGACGTTGTTTACACAACAGTATATGAAGCTAAATTTACTTAACCATATCTTACTTCTAAGCGCGAATTAAAACACTCCACGGTAATATACATGTGGTTGACTTAACTTTCCTCGCTGCTTAAATCTAATTGTCTAACAGTTCACCCAGAACAACCAACTGCTTTACTTTTTTGATTGACACACATCTATCGACGCAAACCTTTTCCACGAATCAACTAACTGCACAGCCAATCAGATTCATGGACGGCCATCAATTCCACACGATGCAGCAACTCGGAGAGCTACGAATGCAAAATAAACAAAATCTTTCGTGTAATATGAATCATTCACGCCGTATTCCACGACTAACCGGCGCCTTAAGTTTTCGAGCGCAGTTAAAAAATTAGGGCCGTATTTAAAGAGCACTCGCCTACGTAACATAATCGAAAAATTTAAAACATCCTATATACCGTTCTTCTTTGCACCTCAATACATGTAATTTAAAGCGGTCAATCAGCTGAAACCCCAGCGCTCCAGCTCAAATTCTGCCGGCGTGTCAAGGACAGTACTTCTTAACTGGGAGCCTAAGGGAAGTGGCGTCCCTAAGTAGAGTTCTCTTGTTGCAGTGTCAAAGGTGGGCCCTTTTCGCGACACTGCATGCCAATTTTCATTCTTCAATTACCCACGGTCCGCATTGAGTAATCAGGGCACACGGGTGTAGGTGCGATTTATTAAATTTTGTTGGATAGAACGATTTTAGGGGTTGTTTCGTCAAACGTACAGTTTAGAATTACATCCCATTAGGGTAGCTGTTAAGTAGGGCGGTTTTATTACGTAGTTGGTATTCCAAAATGTGGTAATGTTAGATTTCCCAACGAGTTTAGCGCTTATTATTTTTGAAAAATTATAAGCCGTGATAGGGTTACGTAGCGCCAACTTGGCGCGATAAGCTGAGGTATGAGAAATGCGATACGTACAGATTAATCATATCCGGTTGTTGATAAAGAAGCAGTAGAAGTGGGGGACTTACTTTCACTTTCTAATGACATAAGATCCCCAGGGTCTGGGGGACTTGCTTTCACATTCCAATGACGCAATAGCCTCGAAACTGTTTGGGTTTTCTCTGAGGTTTTCTCTGTCTAATGCATGGTTACATAGGACATTCCGTGACTTTTTGAGTTTCTAATGACGCTGTGGTATTTCATGGTCTTCGTCGTGATGTAAACGACATTGGGCATTTATGGCTTTCTCAAATTTCTATGGTCTGGCCTTTTACATTCAAATGATGCAATAGCTTGGAAACGGGCTGGTTTTTCTCTCTCTAATGCATGGTTACATAGGACATTCCGGGTCATTTTCAATTTCTAATGGGACGGTGGTATTTCATGTATGCAGACGACATTGAACGTTCAATGATTTTACTAACGATGTTTGCGAACCGACAGGGCTCTCTCTCGTTACGTACGTAGCTTGATGAGCCAAGGGAAATCGAAATTCTAATGAGATTGCGGTGTTTCATGGACTCTCTCTTTCTCTCTAATGTATGGTTACGTATGTAATTGGCATTGAGTGACATTGGAACATTCCGTGGCTTCTTCGGTTTCTAATAGCGTCTTGGTATTTCATGGTCTTCGCTGACGTCATAGGAACGTATGAGGTGAAATGACAAACACATGCATTCCCGAGGCATTTTTTACTGTATAAAACACGAAGCGTAGGTTTATTATTCACCGTGGCGTAGGTTAATGAAGTACAGTCGCACCGATGACAGCGGATTTTCGTGCTTACTATTACAGTGAATATCGTAAGTATCTTGATTGTTTTCCTCTTTATATCTTTGTTCTGAATATAATATAAGCGAATAATTTAATTGTGATTGCTTTTTTACTATTACAGATAATCAAATCTCAATGGCTCACGAATTCAGCTTTGATTTAAACGAATTGAATAGCAGCACCTTATGCAAACCCTTCATATCGGTAAAGGACTTGATCGCTGGGGATAAACACAAAGTGCTTAAGATGGACTACATATCAACCAAGTATGAAGAGAGGGTGATGGTCGAAACCGAATCTTTCAAGTGTGTACTGCCAGAGCGGTACTATAAATTTTTCCAAAGCGATTATCGTATGGCCAAATTCAACGATCAATTGAAAACAACGGACATACATCTATCCAGCTTAGGCTCAGCGGGAAAAACAACAAATCTTCAATTTGTATAAATTTACATGACCAATTGTAAACTAAGTCCCTATATCTACTATAATACTGTCTATATAACAATCAGACATACTAACAATATTTATACAAATCCTTTCGTATAAGTTTAAGTAATTAAAACTAACATCTACAAAATAACTATTATTAAACAACTCAATATCTATATCATCCTTAACTTTATTTAAACTACCTATTAGAATATCTACAAGTTCTTGACTGGAAATTAAATAGGTAACTATTTATGTCTCTCACTCGTCTAACTAAGTCTGCGTCTGTTTCAAGATTTTTCCACGACAATTCCGTTTGGATATCGATTGGTAAATTAATCCATTCAGAAGGCCTCCGCAGCACTTTTTTAGAACACAAATTGTACAACGTGTCATTTGGTACGGGCACGACGGCACGTTCTAGCATTGTATCTATGCTAGACCAAAAAGATTGACTTTTGAAGACAAAGTTTTCCAAAAAGGACACACTCAATTGATTTATGGCACTATAACACATTGACAACTCTTCAATATTTAAATAGTATTTTTCGTTTAATTTTTCCAAATTTTTTACACTTACAGATAAATTCAATAGGCGTACTAGGTCTTCCATTATAACCGTATATAATGATAAAAACCAATTTACATAGACAAACACGTACCTATGCTCTTTTCTTTATATTGACACTACCCTACTACCTACAAATTAAATAACAGCAAGCAATTAGGTGCATAATTACCGTACCAAACTTGAATCACAACAACCACTTTTTGTTTTTACTTTCAACTTGTAAGCAGAATGTTAAATATTGACTATTCCTTTATAATTATTTTTTTATTAATTAAGTTATCGAAAGTACAATATCGCAAAAAAAAATGTACTTATATGTATTATCTTAATGTTTTTTCCTCTAAATAAAATTGTTGATAATGTAATTTTTTTAATTGGAATCTATATGAGCTTGGACATCACTTACATGATGATGATCTTTATGAGTTAATACATTCTCAACATACGCAGTGATTTCGATGGCACTTATACGTTACAAGTTCTGAAACGTAGTATTTCGAATATCTTCCTAATCTTTTTTTATGAATCTATAAAATTAAACTCGAAGATTTTTATCAAAGGCAGAGCAAACCCTAAATAATTTTGTTTTGCTTTCGTATTTTTGTCTTTAAAATGTTATAAAACAAATCAACGAATTCGTATCGTTAATTATTTCGGGGTTCGAAGTTTTCAGTTACCTACTACGTACTTATTATTTTTTGAAAACAGTAATACGCAAAATTCATCTTTTGAATCTTTGTTAGACTTTGCACATTTTATTCAATTTGAATTATTCACCTTTTCATCGGACATACAAAACAAAGTAATTAGACATTTTGCCATTACGTGCATAACCTCGGGTGTCTAAAAAATATAAAGTTTTTAAGTTTTGTATGTGTTTTAAATAGTCAACTTTAAACCTTCTGTTATAGACCTTTTTAAAAATATATCTGCTTTTTTGTATCGTCATTGATATACTTTTATACATTTTAAAATGTAATTACATAAACAGTAAGGACAGTACACGTTATACAAATTAGCTATTTTAATTCTAGTCCTTGCTTTATAACTATCGTCTAATTCGACTCGACTTGTGATTGTATATATAGGTATGCTATCAAATGAACTGAAAACATAAATACTTCAAACAATAAAGACAGTACACGCTTTAAAAACTAAACTTCCTTTGAGTTTGAAAGCTTTTAAATTTTGTATGTGTAATTTACTTGAAGTCCGTTAGCAAGAGTTTTCGGTTATGAGCAATTTTGACTTTTATTTCTATTCGTAAAAAATCATTGTTTATGTATTTAAAGGCAACCAGTAGGTACGGTTAATAAGAGTCCGAGTACAAAAGTGTAGTTTTTCGTTAAAAGTTCTGTAACTAAATGGACTATTTACGTGAAAAAATAAAACGGATTTCGGCCTGTTAACTAAAATCTAGTAATTTTCCTAGTTTCAATAGTGAACGTGCAAAAATATTTAAAATACACATTGTGAGTAATGAGAATTTATTTTGACCTTCTGATCGGTTACAATTAGCAGCGTTTTGAATAATTTGTCGTTGAGTTCCACCGTATGTCATTACACAAAGACTTTCACTAGCACAGCTTAATTTGTTTTTCCACTACACCAAAGTAATTAATTGCATTTTTTCAATTCCTTTCTTATTTCGCTTAGTAAGCGACAGTAGTTGAGAAATTAACATCGATTATTACCAACTAGATTGATACAGCTTCTTAGTAATGACCTCAATGCAGCCCCCGTTGCGTGTGGATATCTTAAATGCATTTGATAAGTAAGTTTACGCTTGTTTTTTTGTTTGCTATACACCTTTCTTTTAGTCGAAGTGAAAAATACGTGATTTGTCATTTTTCTGTTAAGAACATCTTAGGATTTGCAAAATTACATATCACTCTCATTCTATTTTTGAAAGCAGTTTATTAAATTTTTTATATACCTACCGTAACACTAATCGAACGGCACAGTTTTTCCTAATTCTATTTGCAGTAATGGTTACATGTCGAAAAAATTGAATTCATTGCAACAGCCTTTTTTCTGTTTTGGATTTGCGCGTACAAAAACAGCGTCACCTTAAAATTTCCATCATCAGGTTATGTATGACTATTATCTTTCTAATTTACTTTTCACGAGACTTTTCATAATCTACTACTGTGTATCGTCTGAGAATGTTTGTGCATTTTTGTGAAAAAATTTATGATTTGTATTTTTCAGAGTATCCTAGGTTTGCAATACTTTTATCTCTTTCTCACTTAGACTCAGATGATATGTTTATTTTTAATACTTGTAATTTTTTCTTACAAAACGTTCAAACAATTCGAGCGAACTTTTAAAGTTAGAAATAGCATTACAATTTGTTTTTGATTAGTCGTCATACGAAGAATTGAACTTAGTACATCGTCGCAACCATGTATACGATTTTGATAGTTACCAGGGACGCATCCTCACGACAGTTGACTAAATCCTGGGAGAGGCGGCGACGCCAGGCATATGTCAAAGTTTCAAGTTTCAATATTCTCTTTACACTTTTTGAATGTTAATTTACTTACAAATGATCAAGTTTAATATCTTTTATTACAATAGGCTAATACAATCATAGTATACAATATAATACAATTTAAACAAACTTTAAATTTGTTGTTTTTTCCTGCTACACCTAAACTGTTCGAGTAGGTGGCCGTTCTTCGCAACTTCTCGTTGAAAACGTCTATAATTGAACTACACTTAAAAAGTTATAGTACCAGCTCAGATAAAACACATTTAAAAGTACCTATCCGTTTCAACCATTACCCGATCGCCATACTTTATTGAGATGATATCAAGATTCAGGACTTTATATTTACGCTTAATTAATGAGGTTCCAAATATGTGAAATCACCCGACTCATTAGAAAAGTTTCTCCTAATTACACCTACTTGTAACTTATAACAAATGCGTCCTGACATTGCAAAAATAAATAATTCAATCTAATCTTAAAACAAAACCCCCAAACCAAAAAATAGTCCACACTTGAAAGTCTCAGTCCTTTTACCTACATGTATTTATGAAGGTCGTGCATAAAGTGCTGCTATTCAATTGTTTTAAACTTTGAATAGAACATATTCTTAAGATTGAACAGCGTTCGAGTGTTGTAATAAAAACGAATACACGTAAAAATATCCTAGGGTATAGAAACGATCACATGCAAGATTTTTTGCTTTCAGTCTATTCGACACTTAAAAGATTCGGTTCTTTACATATATATGAAGGGTTTACATAAAGTGCCGCTATTCAATTTGTTTTTAGACATTTTTTTTTCTTAAGATTGAAGAGCGAGCGAGTGTTGTAATAAAAATATCTCCTTAAGCGTTGCAAGTTTTTTGTGTTGAGCTTAGTCGGCTGATTGTATATTTCAAGAACATCTGTGAACTGAACTAAAATTTAATCCTATACCCTGTTTTTTAAAAGGTTTGTTTTACACCTAACAAAATTAACCACTCAAAGTACATAGAATTTTATTATTTTATATCATTATAATAATTAACAATGTAAATTTATACAAATTGAAGATTTGTTGTTTTTCCCGCTGAGCCTAAGCTGGATAGATGTATGTCCGTTGTTTTCAATTGATCGTTGAATTTGGCCATACGATAATCGCTTTGGAAAAATTTATAGTACCGCTCTGGCAGTACACACTTGAAAGATTCGGTTTCGACCATCACCCTCTCTCCATACTTGGTTGATATGTAGTCCATCTTAAGCACTTTGTGTTTATCCCCAGCGATCAAGTCCTTTACCGATATGAAGGGTTTGCATAAGGTGCTGCTATTCAATTCGTTTAAATCAAAGCTGAATTCGTGAGCCATTGAGATTTGATTATCTGTAATAGTAAAAAAGCAATCACAATTAAATTATTCGCTTATATTATATTCAGAACAAAGATATAAAGAGGAAAACAATCAAGATACTTACGATATTCACTGTAATAGTAAGCACGAAAATCCGCTGTCATCGGTGCGACTGTACTTCATTAACCTACGCCACGGTGAATAATAAACCTACGCTTCGTGTTTTATACAGTAAAAAATGCCTCGGGAATGCATGTGTTTGTCATTTCACCTCATACGTTCCTATGACGTCAGCGAAGACCATGAAATACCAAGACGCTATTAGAAACCGAAGAAGCCACGGAATGTTCCAATGTCACTCAATGCCAATTACATACGTAACCATACATTAGAGAGAAAGAGAGAGTCCATGAAACACCGCAATCTCATTAGAATTTCGATTTCCCTTGGCTCATCAAGCTACGTACGTAACGAGAGAGAGCCCTGTCGGTTCGCAAACATCGTTAGTAAAATCATTGAACGTTCAATGTCGTCTGCATACATGAAATACCACCGTCCCATTAGAAATTGAAAATGACCCGGAATGTCCTATGTAACCATGCATTAGAGAGAGAAAAACCAGCCCGTTTCCAAGCTATTGCATCATTTGAATGTAAAAGGCCAGACCATAGAAATTTGAGAAAGCCATAAATGCCCAATGTCGTTTACATCACGACGAAGACCATGAAATACCACAGCGTCATTAGAAACTCAAAAAGTCACGGAATGTCCTATGTAACCATGCATTAGACAGAGAAAACCTCAGAGAAAACCCAAACAGTTTCGAGGCTATTGCGTCAATGGAATGT